TGCTTTTGATTATATTTGAAAAAAAAATTAAAGAATCATTCTTCAAACATTTCATTTATTCTTTCTTCCTCCAGGGTTTTTGTTTGGGCTAGTTACTGGCCTAGGAAAACATCATGGCAGCATCGGCTCTTCCCCTGCTAGGATACATTTCTGGAGTAGTAGTTGCTCAAAGAAGCTGGGCATGACAGCTGTACTGTGTATTGTGAAATTTCCCTCAGAAAGCTGACCAAGGGCTGTTTCCTCTGGGCTTATGTAGGTCCCTGTCCACACACTCACAGCAATACTGAATAGTATTGGGTTTTAAAAATTCTGATGAGATAAAAGTTCGCTGCTTTTCTGTTGGTGCTGCTCCCATACCTGAGTTTTCAAGTATGCCTTAATAGACTCAGAAAAGGAGATCCAGCAAAAATGGGAATGAAAGTGGAGGAGAAAAAAAGGAGGAAGTACAAAGGTGTTCTGAAGCTTCACTTCTATGTCTATGCAGCTCTGGCTTGGCCTGTAGCCACTGTTGTTAACTGGTGAGGGGAGACAATCCGAGGAAGTGAGCACTGGCCCCACCCGGCCTCCCACCTTCGCCCAAACTGGTCCCTCACACACAGTGGCCCACCTTTCCAGGGGTGAGGATACGGCCAACTGCAGGGGCAGCAGACCAGGGCACCTGGCTTGCCACTGTGATGTGGCCTCCACTGGTAGGCACACTGGTGACACCCCTGGGTGCTAGTGCTCAGTGGGCTTGGGGTGTCACAGCTGGTGAGCAGATTTTATCTAGAGCTCATAAGCATTATATCAATAAAAGAATTAAACAAGGAAGCTTAAAAGGAGAAACAAAATCACTTTATTGGAAAGAAGAGAGAAAGAAGGAGATGGACAGTTACCTGGGTGGAGTAAGTAGGGAGCCTGGAGCCGGCTCGCGAGGGTCTCTGTTCTTAGCCTCTCTCGTACATGACGAGAAAGGGATCCTGCCCCCAGAGGTGTTATAACTTGAGCAGCTTTTCTAGGCTCTGAGACCCCTTATTTGGCCATCGTCCTTTTTCATCGCCTATGTGCACATTCTTTGGTATTTTTGTTTTGTCAAAGTAATATTGGTGAGATTTACAGCACAGTCTCACATTCAAGGCCAAGTTAGCAAAGAGGGATACATGTGCATTTTAGTATATTAACATGGTGAGAGAATAATAAATACATATATATGTACATATATATGTATATTTATGCATAGGTGCGAGTATATAGCTTATGTACTGAGTTAGCTTTTTGACTATATCACCCTGGCCCCACTTTGGCTCCTTCGTGCCTCGCATGGGGTGGGGCAGGAGGAAACGGCCCTGGCACTGCAAGGAGCCGGCTTATCAGTCTCCCTGCCTGTGTTCCTTGGCTGCCCTCTCTAGCAGGGCTTTGACTCTTTATTTGCCAGAAACCTCCCCGAGGCCCTACCCTTTCCCTGCCTGTCCTCCGTCTTTCCCTGCAGTGTGTGTGTGGGAGGGGGGGGGCTTCTTTGCCTGTCTTTCTCAAGAAGTATAAGTGTGGGACCCAAAAAAGAAACTTTCGGGGCTGGAGAGATGGCTCAGTGGTCTAAAGCACCTACTTGGAACAAGCTTGGCAAAGCACAGGGCGGCGGTTGGATCCCCCAGCACCACATGCCAGCTAACCCCGCCCCCTGGTGGGCTGAGCTGGACACACACACATACACACACACACACACACGCTAAATAAATGTTAAAAAAAATTTAATAAAAGAAAAAGGAAACTTTCCTTTCTCGCCATCCTCTTCCTTCTTTGGTACCACTGGTCCTTTACTCAGAGAGGAATGCTGAGGCATCAGGATCAAGTTTACCCAGAAAGGTAAATATTAAGATGCCAAGGACCCCTTGTAGCCCATCTTCAGCAACAAACCTGATGCTCCTGAGTTCTGGGGTGGGGGGCTGCATGATGGAGACGGACTTAGAGCTGCGGTGAGCTGTCACTACTGTAGAACACAAGGTTCATAAAGACAGCCGCTGGGTCTGTTTCATTCACTGCTATGTGCTGAGTGCTACTAAAAAAAAAAAAAAAAAAAAGTGCTCAATTTGTCACTCAATGAATGAATCATGACTGCTCTAAATTCTTTCATTCCCTTACTAGAAATTACCTGGTAACATCACCAGTCTGGCTTAACTTGCCCTCCACTTGGAAGATGTGCTTGGATCTCAGAGCAGGCAGCTAAAACATAAAAGTCACTATTATTTTGAAGACCAAAGACAGAGCTTCCTGGATTGAAGACGGCCCTCTTACCACACATCTCCTTTTCCGTAAACTCAGACAATGGCCCCAACAGTAGCCTCTTACTTTCTGTCTGCTCCCTCAATGCTGACTATAGTCTTAATCATGACTTCTACTTTGGCTATGGCTTTACATCTGTCTCTCCTAACTTCTGACCACAACGTACTGCAGCCTTGATCTTAGGCTTCTTTCAGACCCAGATCTTTTTTTTTTTTCCTCTGTATTTTAGGGAAGGGTCTACAGGGTGTTCAGGGACTCACTACTAAATCAGACTCATAGTGATTCTCCTGTTTACAGCCTCCCAAGAGCTGGAATTACAGACATGCACCACCACAACCAGTCTCAATCACCGTCTCAGTACGCCCCAGAGTTGGGGCCCGCACGGCAGGCCTGGGGATCCGTGGCAACTGCGCCTGCTTGCAGGGGCTTTATTCTGCTGAGCAATTTGGCCAGCCAGATTTTTTTTTTTCTCTTTTTTTTTTTTTTTTTTTTTTTTGCAGAACTGGGGATTGAACTCAGTCAGGCCCTTGAGCTTGCCAGGGAAGCACTTATTCTACTGCGCCATCTCCCCGGCCCCTGGCCAGCTAGATCTTAACCTCTGGTGATATTATTTTCCTCCTTCCTGGCCTCCTGTCTTACAACTCTGCTTTTGCTAAGCCCATGTAACTGGGTTCTTTTCAGCTCCTCTCTCTTTGCGGGTCTGGGTTGGGCCCAGCAGCTTCTGTCCCCAGCGATTTCTCCCTCACCATACTCCCTCCTTCCCAGGGTCCAATGTTGGCACTGGCGGTAGCCCTGAAGAAGTGGCCTGGATCCAGTTATGGAAGTTGGAAACTACTTCAGCTTTGGAGAGAAGAAATGGTTCTAGCTCAGAGGCAAGGGAGCGGGGCATTTATACATGCAGATGGGGGCATCTAGCTCCCAGCGCAGGAGGTGCAGGGCACACATTCAAGGCTGAGAAAGACAGGAAACAGCTGTACACAATGGTCGCTGGAGTTTGTGGCCAGGTAAGAGCTTGTTGAGCATAGCATGCAGAAGTGAGCAAACCCGAGGGATGACACAGTACTGGTGTTGAGTATATATATATGCTTTGTTCTCCAGGCAAGGCTAGGCGCGGGCTGGCATGTGTTTCTAAAACAAAAGGCACATTTCTCCTGATGCAGGATGTCCCATGTGTAACTGATGCCTGGGTCTTAGGACAGACTGAATGCATACGGATAAGGAAGCAGGAGGGTGCTTGGCCAGGGCTCCTGGCACACGTATGTGTGCACTTTTCCTGAGGAAGCCTCACCATCAGGACTCCGGAGAGAAGTGTGTCTTGGAATATTGATGCACACCTGCAATCCCAGCATGCTGAGAGGCTGAGGCAGCGGATCACTGTGAGCTCGACGCCAACCGGAACTACACAAGTGAGTTTGAGGCCACTCTGTACTATACAGCGAGACACTGTCTCCAAAACCAAACCTGTGTTGGAGAAAACAGAAGGGTGTGGAAGAAGGTGCTGGGAGTGGAGAAATTCTATTTATTTATTTATTTATTTATTTATTTATTTATTGCAGTACCAGGGATTAAACTCAGGACTGTGTGCTTACCAGGCAAGCACTTACTCTACTGAGTTAACTCCTCAGGCCCGAGAAATCCTCTTTGTTAATGACTCCTGTTCCCTTCTATTGCAGTCCTCTATGGTCACCAGGAACTTTGTTCCAGTGAGTGTCAAGGTGACAATTTGGTTGAAAGCAGAGAGAGAGAGAGTAGATTAGACAGAGAGAATAAGGAAGAAGGGAGATCGCTGGGCAGTGAGCTTCCAGGCCCTCTAGGCCTGCAGAACCTGCTGACTAAGACATCCAGCTCGTCTGCTAGCCTGGGGCCTCAGAACTCCTAGAAACCTGTGGAGGCCGCCAGTTGCCAGCTGTGCAGCCACAGGTCGGCCAGGGGACCGATCATTTGCTTTCATTTTAAGGCACTTTTTGCAAACACCAGGATTTGCATGCAGGCATGCTGCCAAGTGGCTTCGAGGTTCAAATGCTAAGAAACAAGCATTCCTTTTTTTATGAATTTAGGACAGCGTCTACAGGGTGTATGGGTCTCACTACGTAGATTGAACTCATAGTGATTCTCCTGTTTTCAGCCTCCCAAGTGCTGGGATTATAGGCGCCCACCACCACACCCAGTCTCAATAGCTAGCTCAGCAGGCCCCGGGGGCAGGGCCAGTGTGGCAGAGCAGGACCATGTGTAGCCCAGGGCTCAGTCCCAATCCCAGCAGCACCAAAAACAAACAACAGTACTATGAATAACTACTGTGAAGACAACAATATGCAATGTATTAATTATTGTAACCTGTTTTGAAACTGTCTCATTGCTATTTGTTTTTTTTAAGTGAATATATACAATTTATTTAACACTCAAACTTCATTAAGACATGTGCAATATGGCAATTTTACTGGGGATTTAACCCTACCTAGGATATGATTGCTTGCTGGGGCTTAGCAACAGGGTCCAGTTCACACTTAGCACTAATTAAATAGTTATTGAATAAATACAATACCAAAACAAAATGCAGGGGGCTGGTGAGATGGCTCAGTGGTCTAAAGCACCTACTTAGAACAAGCTCAGCAAAGCACAGGGACCGCGGTTCAATCCCCAGCACCACATGCCAACCAGCCCCGCTCCCTGGTGGGCTGAGCTGGACACACACACACACACACACACACACACACACACATAAATAATTTTTTTAAAAAATGCATTCAAATACTTTTCTTTAAAAAAATTCAATTTTAAAGGCCTTTCTAATCAGGCTAAAGACAAACACAATAAAGGTAGATATGCTAGTTTAACATAATTGGCTGATTTTATACAGCACTTATATCTTTTAGTCCACAAGTATATTATTAAATGATAGAGAACATCTAATACAACCATTTCTACAGAACTAGGAAATAAATTTCTAAGAAAGAAAGATTTTACAGACCCCATCTTTTATACCCACCCCAACAGTCTACTCTAAAGAGGATAAAGCCAGTGACTTTCCTCACAAGAGCTCACGACTAATGTTGCTTTGCTATCAAAATCTATATTTCTGATCCGTTATGAGCATTGAGACAAGACTCAAAAATTCCCAAAGAAGCACAATGCACGCTGTGATTGCCTGTTCAGCACCAGCGAGCACTGCATTCAAAACTATCTCATCCCAGGAATTAAATAAGGTCAGCCACATTCATGGGCATTTCCTCGACGGTAGTATTGTAGAAAGTCTCAATGTCACGAAGAATCCTCTTGTCTTCCTGGGTAACAAAGTTTATAGCCACACCTTTCCTCCCAAATCGACCCCCTTTGCCAATTCTGTGAATATAGTTTTCACGATTGGTAGGTAGATCATAGTTTATAACCAAAGACACTTGTTGCACATCAATTCCACGAGCCAACAAGTCAGTAGTGATCAGAACACGGCTTGACCCCGATCGGAATTCCCTCATGATAACATCTCTCTCCTTCTGATCCATATCACCATGCAGAGCAGAAACAGTGAAGTCTCTGGCATGCATTTTCTCAGTGAGCCAGTCCACCTTGCACCTTGTATTAAGAAAGATAACAGCCTGCGTAATGGTGAGTGTTTCATACAAATCACAAAGTGTGTCCAACTTCCATTCCTCTCTTTCAACATTAATATAAAACTGCTTGATTCCTTCCAGGGTCAATTCTTCCTTCTTCACCAGAATCCGAATTGGATCTCTCATGAATTTTTTGGTCACCTCCAACACATCAGTTGGCACTGTGGCAGAAAGCAACACAACCTGAATACTTGTATTTAGTTTTTGGAAAATCTCATAAATTTGATCCTTAAACCCTCGGCTCAACATTTCATCTGCTTCATCCAAAACAAACATTTTGATCCATTTTGGAGAAAGGTATCTTCTGTTTAACATATCAAACACTCTCCCTGGGGTACCAACAACAATATGTGGTGCTTCAGCCTGCAGCTTCTGCATTTCATTTCGAACATTTGTTCCACCAATGCAGGCATGACAAGTTGCTCCCATATAATCTCCAAGTGCCAGAATTACCTTTTGGATCTTTGATACAAGGAATAATAGCTCTTTGCTGAATAGCCGAAGGCTTCTCAAAACCATAAGCATAGATGCCCCGAAGAAGAGACTCCTTTAAGTTCATATCATCAAAGTTACCAACAATCTCATTCCAGTTGCTCTCGATGACACCATCGGGGTCCATTCCCTCTGGGCCTCCATGTTCTCTGTTATAATCCGCAGAACCACCAGACATGATCCGAAGAACCACTCAGCGCCCGACTGAAAAGCTCTCATTGCTATTTGTTTCTCAATAAAATTAATAAAAATAATGGATACAAAAAAAAAAAAAAAAAGGCAACTTAGGAAAATATCTAACAAAAGAAAACAACCAGTATATTCACTCCCACTTTGTATCTTTTTTTTTTTAACTATAAGGCAAGGTAATTGATAAAATAGATAATGCTTTTAAGGCAGCATTAAACATTTAAGCGTGAAAGGTTAAAATGTGGTAACATTCAGGGCCAGCCAGATAGCGCAGCAGACTAAAACGCTAGCTCAGGCAGAGCACAGCGGCCGGGGTTCAATCTCCCCCTGCCCAACCCCCATGCTCTGCTGGCCTCGCCCCCGGGGCCCGCTGAGCTAGCTATTGAGACTGGGCGTGGTGGTGGGCGCCTATAATCCCAGCACTTGGGAGGCTGAAAACAGGAGAATCACTACGAGTTCAATCTACATAGTGAGACCCATACACCCTGTAGACGCTGTCCTAAATTCATAAAAAAAGGCAAAAAAATGTGGCAACATGTGGCAAGTTTACTTACTTTTCCCTGAACAGCAATTTAAACCTGTCTTGTAACAAGCTTCATTTTGATTCGACACTCGGGTTGTCTTTCACAAGCCTCTGAGATGCTCACGTGTCAGACCCGCCTGTCACCGCCTCTCCTTCTCCAAGGAAACTGAAAGATAAACATCAGAGGTCCGTTTCCTCTCCGCTTTTTACTGATTGCTCCACCGCTTTCTTTCCCAATTTAGAGTTCGTTTTAGTTCTGCCCATTCAGCTATGGCTTCTTTTAGCACGAGGTGGACGAAATGCTCAGGCAGTGCTGGGGCTCTACTGCCCCCTGGAGGTTGATCTCATTCCCTCGGCTCTGCTCCATTCTCCGCTCTGCTCGGTGATGTTGGGTTACTGAAGAGGTGCCCTGACTTTGGTAGTTAGACTCTGTTTCTCTCGTAAAATGATTCTTCCTTCTCCCCTCTATTTTAGTTGAAGCACTGAGATTAACGAAAGGAATTTTACCAGGAAATTAACAAATATTATAAGTCTATAGAGCAAAACATTTTAACCTCAGACACTGTCTAGCCTGGCCTCTGCACTAGTTGGTGGCAGATTCTCCCCCCTCCCCCACCCCCAGTCCAACCCCAACCCCCACCCTCACCCCCAACTCCCCCACCCACTACCTGGGTGGAGCTACTACCTGTCTGGCTGATCACTTATCTCTCTCAGGCCTACATCTGGCTTATGGACATCCTTTATGATGCACAGCCATGTGTGAGAGAAGCACTATGTTATCCTAGGTATTGTTTTCCTGTATTTTATAATAATCCATAGAGGCTCAGTGGAATAAGTGCTTGCCTGGCAAGAGCAAAGTCCTGAGTTTGATCCCTGGCAACACACACACACACACACACACACACACACACACACACAGATCATCATCATCATCATCATCATCATCATCATCATCATCATCATCATCATCCATGGCAAGAGAAATGATATTTTCCTCCCAGTTATCTCTGTTATTTCAGTTTGATCCCTTTTCTTCTATTTCTCGACTCTCCTAGGAGAATTATCATCATCCCTACGTGAAGGTTGGTGTTTATGTTCAATGAAGCTCAGCTTCTTCATTGGTTGGCACCAAACCCGCGCCCATGAGGGGAAGGCAAACACCAGCTGGGTTTCATTCCCTCACCTCTCCAAGTGAGATCCACGCTGATCTTCCCTTGTAAACAACTTTGCACTTTCCTGACACCCCATTCCAACTAAATTCCAGCTGCATAAAGAATCTGCTGTGCAGGCAAAGGAGCACGAAATAGGGAAAGAATCCTGCCACTGTCACATCCCCTGGGGTCTGCTGCCAGGAAGTGCAGCTCCTTGTCAGACTTACAATTTTCCTCATTAGCAAGTAAGAGAAATATTTCTATACAACCAACTCTGCTTAGAGGGAAAAAAAAAAACCTTAGGAATCAATGTATGAGACTGAGGTATTGTCCTGGGCTTCAGGAAGTGGGCCAGAGAGTGTCACTGACCAGGGACCATGCTGAGGGCCCGGATGCCTGAAAGAGGTAATGCAGAGACAAGCTGGTCGGAATTGGCATTTTTGATCTTTAGTGTTCTTTAGGGCTGATCTAGAGATTTTTGTTAATGTCTTCTGTTCAATTCCCCTTCCCTTCACCTTATCTTTATCTGCTTTCCAAACAAATGGTCAGCATGACAATTCTGTACATATTTGGAGCAATTCATTTCTTTTTTTTCTTTCTTTTTCTTTTTTCTTTTTCTTTTTTTTTTTTTTTTTTTTTTTTCATTTCTTAGTCATCTTTTCTCTAAAGTTAGGTTGGATCCAGAATTTAAAAAAAAAAAAATTTATGGAGACACAGTTTATGCCATGTAGTCCAGGCTGACCTCAAACTCATAGCAGTCCTCGTGCCTCAGCCTCCTGAGTGCTGGGGTTATAGTTGTGTGCTACTGTG